ATCCTGACTGAAATTTTTCATATATCTCATTTTCTTGCAAGAAAGAGCACAATTGAGCGGACACAGTTTTTTCTAGTATTTTAGACATAAATGGAAGATTTGAAATGGGTCTGTAATTTGCTAAGTTATTTGGATCTAATTGCGGTTTCTTAAGAGGTTTTATTACTGCCAGCTTGATATTATAAGAATAACCGCATCCTCACAGACGCAAATTGATTTACTTTTCACCAACAGGCCAGAAAGAGTTGAGAAAACATATAACCTCATTACTGGATTAACTGACCACAACCTAGTTTTATTCTCAAGAAAGCTTACAAATAATAGATTTAGGACAAATAAATATCATTCTCAGCATTCTAGAATTCCTAAAAGTGAACTTGAGAATTTCCAAATGACTATAAATAAAACAAACTGGAATGAAATTATAGCTGGGAGGAATGTAGAGGAAGATAGTGAGAGATTTATAAACACAATTCAGAGTATAGCACAAAAGTTCACTAAAACATCCCAAGGTACGAAAAAGAGTCAAAAGAACTGTCTACCATGGTTGAGTACAGACTTACTGAAACTGATGAAAGATTTTCTGAAGTTTAAATTGCCAATTGATAGACAAAAGTTTACAATGTTACGTAATAGGGTTACTCGAGAATTAAGAAAGGCTAAAGCAAACTTTTTTATTAGTATTATTCATGAATCTAGAGGTAATACTACATAAATCTGGGAGCATATCAAGAAATTAATTGGTATAAATAACAGTGGATCATCAAAGCAACTACAGTTAAAGCTACATGGCAAAATATCTGAGGATCCCTTTGAAATGGCTGAAGCCTTTAAAAGATACTTCATTGACTCTGTAGATGAGATTACTCAAAGTTTCACTGAAACAAAGGATAACATTTTAGTGGACTGTCAGCTCCAAACGTCTAAACCCCAATTCTGTTTAAGTAACATCTCCGAGCAAGAGGTATAGACCTTATTCGCAAACACCAGGGCCCTCATTTATCAAAAGTGCGTACACCAAATTTCCAGCGTACACCTGGCGTACACCCAAAACCACGGTGACTTTGAGATTTATCAATATGAACGTTGGCGTACGGCACGCTCAAATCCTACGCCAGCTCAGGAGGTGGTGTACGCACGTTTTGAGTTAGTGCGGAAATGCGCAGAAAAACAATTCCTAACACCACAAAACGCACTGACAAACTAACTGATCAACTGCTCAAACTGACATAACTAAAAGATATGATATATTGATATATGACCAACAACAACAACAACAGTAATTATAAACTTCAGTGTTTATTTTTGTGCAACACGGACTTCAATGTTTAATTTGTGTGACTTTACCAAAGCATTTGATTTATAAGCATATGTATTCCTTCAGTTGCGAGCCTGTGCGCTTTACCCTGACGTTTCATGGTTAGGCCCGGCAGGTGCGCACGGACTGGGTTCGGTAACGAAAGGCTTTCAATGACCAAAAAATAATTCAGACTGACAAAATAATAAAAAAAACATTCTTCTTCTTTTAAATAATAATAATAATACAAATAATAATAATGACATTCTTCTTCTAAATAACAATAAGCGTCATTAATAATACAAAGCATACTAATAATACTAAGAATAATATTACAAATTGTCATGCAATTATTAATGTGAATGAATGGTACTCCACATCACATCATCATCATCATCATCATCATTATTGTACACCCCATACATGTAACGTGATTCGAAATTGAATGCTAATTCAAAAGACGTGCTGTAAAATATTGCATTGTGATAGGTCATTTCGGGCTCCACGTCAGAGAAGTTTCTCTTCTTTGCCGTCTTCCGTGTGTCCATGGCGTAAAATGAGGGCGTGGGGGAAGCGGAGACTTGAATATATAGGGGCGTGTTATTCTAATGACGATCGTTTTCAGCCGCGGGATTTATCAAGGGCAGGTATTGCGTACACCTGGATTTCAAAGGTACGCACAGCTTCATAAATCAGGCGGTGAGAGGAGTGTAAGCATAATCTTACGCCAACATATACGCCCGTTTCTACGCAAGAATGATAAATGAGGGCCATTATGTTTTAGCCTGTTGTGTGCTGATGTTGCTTGTTACTTATTGTTGTGTGTTGTATCTGTCTTATCACTACTTTTCTATGTTGTTATTATTTGTGGACTGTAAAAAGTCATTTTATGTTTTTTTTATATCTTGATTTTAGGTTGCCTTCATAATAACTGGCCAGGGACAACAGATGAAAATTAGCCTGTTGAGCTAACTCTGGCTCATTTACAGTTATTTTACTGTTAATTAATGAGCACTGTCCCTGTAAAATAAACAAATAAATGAAATAATACAATGCAGATTCACTCTCGAAATTGCAATTGACAAAGTGATACTAGGCTACTTTGGTAGGCCCTAATAAAAATATGGCATGTCAAAATAGATAGGCCTGTATACACACTATAGGCTAAATAAATGCAGACTAATCGATTACTGGAAAAAATATTCGTATCAATAGGCCTATAGCCTTAAATTCCATTCCAATTATTTGTAAAATTGCTATCATTGTTATAAGCCACATCTGCACAGAGAACATTCGCTTTCACATACTCAGTGATTTGATTCTTAACCCCTTCAGACCTGAATTATGTTTCAAGTTTCTGAAAAATATAAAAGTACATTTTCTATACATTTACAAAGTAACTGTAGTGTAATTCACTTTACAGTGCACAAGATCAGTACTGTAAACTACAAAATAGTACTTTACTGTATTTTTACTTTATTTCGTAATTTGGTCTGGTTATGCTGTAATTAATTATACGGTATTGTACTGTAATATCTATATTGATACATTACTGCTAAATATTATTCTAATTTTAAAAATAATTAATAATAATGATAATATTATATTATAATAATATAATATGTAGTTATTAGGAAAATATATAGTAGGAAAAAAATACTATGGAAGTCACTGATACTGTCAACTGTCTTGTTACCGACATGTTCAGCAGAATAAAGAAACTCATACAGGTTTGGAACAACATGAGGGTGAGTAAGTGATGACAAATATAATTTTGGCAAATAAATGATGACAAATAAGATATAATAATCACCCAAAAATTTAAATTAGCCCATGATTTACTCACCCTCAAGCCATCCTAGGTGTATATGACATTCTTCTTTCAGACGAATACAATCAGAGTTATTTAAAAAAATGTCCTGCCTCTTCCAAGCTTTATAATGGCAGTGAATGGTTGTTTCTGTTTTGAAAGTCCATAAAAGTGCATCTATCCATCGTAAAAGTGCATCTATCCATGATAACAGTGCTCCACACTACTCTGGGGGGTTAATTAAGGCCTTCTGAAGCGAAGCGATGCGTTGGTGTAAAAAAAAGTATAATATTCAAGTTGCGCTTTAGATTTAAGTCAAATCCGTGTGTTCGTTTGGCCGGAAGCTAGTTATTTTACTTTATAAAGTTTTAAATACAGATATTTTTCTTACATTTCTCATCACTCCACATAAAGTCAACATCTGAGATATTTCCATCAGCTATATGTTCAAGCACTTCAAGAACTGTATATTCTGCATATGATAAAGTTTTAAAAATGTATCGGTACTGTGATACAGATTTTTTTATATATAAGAAATTTCAATCAGCATTACTGGACATGGGATTTCAGTAACAGGCTTTCGAACCCACTGTCCATTCTATTGGACAGACACATTTGAAAAAATCCTGATTTAAAACTTGCAATTCTACAATCGATTTTTTAACTTTAATTAATAAGTTCAATCTTTCTATTTTACATATAGAAACTATGAAATACTGGCAAAAATATATATATAAAAAATGTAAATAAAACCATAGAAAATGGGTCCGAATATGGTCCATCTCACAGTCAAATTAAAATGTAAATGTTTAATAAACTTGTAGCTAAAGTTCAGGTAGGCTAAATATTTAATTGTACATCTGATTAATAAAATAAAGACTGCAAATCCGTTTAAATAATTTACAACAACTGCAAACAACTAACTGTGATTTTTATCGCAACATGTTTATTATGTTGCATAAATCTAAATTTTAACAATGAAAAGTAATATAGGCCTAGCCTACAGTGATGCATGTGCAACAACAATAATGCATAGTTCTGATCTACTGTCTTAACATAATATAACTTATTTTTAATCATAATATGGCTAGTTTCTATTAATATCGAAGGTTATAGGCTACAGCTCTTTTTGACACATTTTGTATCGGGGGTTCCTGCTCCATATCTCTATCGCCTGGCCCTTTCCTTGCCCTGAAAACGCTGAAGACCCTGCCATAGATGCATAATTAAACTCAACTGTGTTTCACAGTCAACATATGGCTTTTTGCCCAGGGTAAGGGTGTTACACCTTACATCAACAAGGCGACATAATGGGTGGCACTCCGTGGAGGTGAAAAGTTCTTGACCGCAGGATTTTTATTTTTTTTTGTAATTGAATGCAAAAGAAAAGGCATGAGATACGGCTGTTTTTGTCAATTGTAAGTTTTAATTTAAAATGTTTGTGATTTTAACATAAGAAAAGTAGCTATGCGTAAAATGTTATGACACTTGCTTGAGCAACTGAATAGGCTATCTAGTAAGGCCAATACGTTGTTATTTATTGTGTTTAAACGCGAATAGGTCTATGAAAGATTGTAACGGTGTAAAAACAGTTTCAGTAACAACTTTTGGATTGGAAATAAAAAGAATGAAGACATGTTGTGTTGACAGCCGCGGTTCTGTTGCGCATTCCGAACGCGGAAAAGCCTATGTGAAACCACAATAAGCGCGTGCTCCTGCATCGCATACGTAATTCAAGACGCACCGCATACGCACTGCAAACGGAGGCTATGTGTGAACCTGGCGTTAAGTAATGCTGGATGAGGCATCGACATCAGACCGAGCAACGTTAAATAAGCAGCCAATGAACGCACGGTGCCCTGTCGGTATAAAAACCCGACCGCCCGTGCCGCTCACCGAACTGAATGAGCAGCTCAGTCACGTCGGGCGCGTGGATGGCGCGGCAGTTTTTACTTGCCGACTGTCATGCATAATCGCTTGACAGAGGAAAACGGCGGCAACACCATGCAGTCTTTATTGTCTGTGGCTCACTCTCCCGGGATACCTACAGCCGTTTCATTCATGTGGAAATCAGGAAATCCACAGTCGTCCAACTGGTCGGGGCTGGAGAGGGAAAACGCGACTAGTCTCGGCGATTTGGACACATTTGATAACCGGCGCGCACAGTATGGCCAGTTTACTCCATCCACCTCAATATTCCTGACAGTTCTCATGACACTGCTGGTGTTCGCCACGGTTCTCGGGAACGCGCTTGTCATTTTAGCTTTTGTGGTTGAGAAAAGTTTACGCACACAAGGCAACTTTTTCTTTTTAAATTTGGCCATAGCGGACTTTCTTGTCGGTGAGTGATATTGATGAAGGTTTGCATGTCAGTTTTCGTTTTCTCTGCAGTGTGTTGAAATGTAGCTGTGTTTTAATGGATTTTCAGGTGGGTTTTGCATCCCCGTGTATATTCCCTATGTCCTGACGGGTGAGTGGAGGCTGGGCAGAGGTCTGTGTAAACTGTGGCTGGTAGTGGATTATATGTTGTGCACCGCCTCAGTCTTCAACATCGTGCTCATCAGTTTCGACAGGTTTCAGTCCGTCACTAAAGCGGTGAGTGTATCCCAAACACACACACTTTAAAACAAGTGGACATAGTTCCAGATATGTTGGAATGTCTTTTTGCAGAAAAGGTCATTTATGGTGGAAAAAGGTTCTTTAGATTATTAAAATGTCTCTCTCTCATACACAAAATTATTTGAAGAACTGTTCAGTAAAAGGTTCTTTGAAGAACTAAAACATTTTCTTTTATGGCATCTCTGCAAAACCCTATTTGGTTATTTATACTTTCTTTTTAAGAGTGCACGGACTGTGTAGCTACAATTAGACTATGACATTTGAGCGCTCCTAATTAGTTGAAATCTGTTTTGGAGAATGGTAATTCAAACTAACGAGTCTGAGCCACCACTGACAAGAAACGGCAACAAAATAAATGTTGGTTTTCAGAGATGAATAATAACACATAATAACAGCATAATAATAACAACACAGGGATGATTCACAAGGATATCTGTGGAAGCTTGTTTCCATCACAGAATAAAACATTTTAAAAGATAATTGCGTCTTTTTATTCCCCTCAGAATTGCGAGGAAAAAAGTCAGAATTGCGAGATAAAAAATTACCTTTTTTATTTTTTATTCTGTGGCGAAAACAAGCTTCCATAGAAAAATTAAAATTCTATCCTAATCTCCTCTCCCGCATGTCGTTCCAAACGTGTATGACATATTCCTGTGGAATAGTTAAATGCACTTTTAATGTGGAAAAACACTTTGTCTTTGAACATAGATAAATCGGCTTAACAAGTAAATTATAAATAGCTACACAGACCACAATATTACAAAATAATTGCCTAATGATACATGCCTTGACAATAAAAAAAAACATGGTAATGCTGAAAATGAAGAATTTCAGATTATATGTGGTTTCCACACAAAAGTATCACTGTGAACATTTCTATATAGACAGTTCCATTCAGGAGTTAGCTGTTCACATAAAGATGAATCAATCCAACACAAATATGTTTTTACATCACATAAATACATAACTATTTGGACAGACACAGTGAGTGCTGATCTACAAATGCCATGCACACTTTTACACTTGTCAATCATGTGTCAAGATTTATTTATATCCCAGCATGCAGCAGCGCACAAAAGCATGAACCCAATTGCATCTGCTTTAGAGATGAATGCACTGAGACATCCGTTTAATTATAATATTTAATCTGGCAACCTATCATCTATCTATCTGTCTGTCTGTCTGCTCATCCACCGTTCTTTCGTTCGTTCTGTCTGTCTAGCCCTATCTGTAATTCATATTAATTCAGCTATAAATCTGTATTTCAGGTGAGTTACCATTGCCAGAAGGGGATCACCAGAGAGGCTGTTTTGAAGATGCTCTGCGTGTGGCTGGCAGCGTTCCTTCTTTATGGTCCAGCTATTATCAGTTGGGAACACATCGCAGGAGGAAGCGTAGTGCCAGATGGAGAGTGCTATGCCGAATTTTACTTCAACTGGTATTTTCTGATGACTGCCTCAACTGTCGAGTTCTTTACCCCTTTCATAAGTGTCACTTATTTCAACCTCAGCATTTACATCAACATCCGCAACAGGTGCGCAGTGAGAGAAGAACAGCCGACTCACATTCGGCTTAGGAGCCTCAAAATGAGGCCGCTCAGAGCCGGTGATGTACAGCGCGTGTTTTTTGTGAGGCCTGTAGAGGAAAGTGGGGCCGCAAATTTGTCCTCGAGGTCACAGTGCTGTCGGTTAGCTTCTAATGCAAAGGTGTCCGCCGCCGAGTTCGCCAATGGCAGACAGACTAAACGAAGAGACAGCACTATTGCAGACTTGCCTCCTCTGCAGGTCGGAGACCGGCTCCTGCCATCCAGTGAGGCACAGTTTCATTATGTGGATCATTCGGCTGGATCACACAGACATCGCCCTGATATGGTTGCCAGTCTATCCAGCCGCTTTCGCCTATCTAGAGATAAGAAGGTGGCAAAGTCTTTAGCTGTAATAGTTTGTGTTTTTGGACTCTGTTGGGCACCCTACACACTGTTGATGATCATTCGGGCAGCATGTCACGGTCAGTGCGTCCAGCACTACCTTTATGAGATCTCGTTCTGGCTGCTGTGGATAAACTCATCCATCAATCCAATCCTGTATCCTCTGTGCCACAGCAGCTTTAAAAGAGCCTTCAGCAAATTACTATGTCCGAGCAAAATAAAAATACAACCTCAGAACATCGACCAGAAGTATTAAATTTATGAGGATGACCTTGTTTACAAATGGGGCTAGTCCCCCCCTACCCTGTTTAATGTGCTTGTATCTAGCAGTAATGAACAGTAGCACAACATTTTCATGTACATAAAAAAGGTCTTTGTCTTTTTATTTACAATTTAAAATCACATTTTTTTCTATGAAATTCAATAATGAATTATTGATTTATGTATAAATGTCTGAAAGTGTCCAGCGCGGTGCCATGTTTGCCTTTGTATGTAATTAAGAAAAAATAAAAAAACTTTCAAAATAAACTACTGGTGATGTTACAAACATAATGGAGTGATATACCTCTTGAAACCACGGTCTGATATGGTCGGATATTGACCAGCCTATCATTACTGATGTAAAGGGATTGCTAGCGAAGCCTGTAGTTCCCCTAGCAACTGCGGGACCTTTAATTCGTATAATCATATCAAAGTAACCCATTTATTATGGATTATAGCAAAGTCTGAACACTTGAATCAATGCTAGTAAGATGTACAATGCATTGAGATTGAGAAACTGAGTGAGAAACCAACAGACAATACTATTAATACTTGCATGTATTAAATCATAACCAATACCTGTACCAACATTCACTGCAAAATCTGGCTCCATGGTACGCTTATTAACAATAAAAGGAACAGCTGAAGAAAGCATGAAATTAAAATGTATATATATTTTCTAAATGCATGTTATAGATCTTATTGTGAATATTTTAATCTTTAATTGGATTATTTCATTTTAAAATGTTTTTTTTGACCTTGTAATGTTTAAGCAAAATGTCAACTGGATCTTCCAATTAAATTGATAGACTCTTCTCTCTGGTGACGCATCCCGGACTGATCTAATCATAATCTAGTCTGCTTAAACCCAGCCTTTCCACAAACGACTGCAAGCATTCATTTTTGAGTGCAACATCCACACCTCAAAACCCAACAACAGTTCGGTAAAATCAAGTCTCCACCCTACATTCTTAAAAAAAAAAAAAAAAAAAAAATAAATTGTTATACTCTGGTACATGTCAAAATACGAAAGAGAAAACACCTGCATCTACTTCCGCTGTCACAGTGACTATATGAAATAGAACTTCTACAGGCCAGTGGGGTTAATATTTTTTATTTGTGCAAATGCCATGAAATCAATGATATTTTGTTGTAACTCATTTACAATTAGATTATACATACAATATATGAAGGGAGGGGGAATCATAATTCAAAAAAGTAGACAAGATGCAAGAGAAGGCTTCTGACATTGTTTCGATTCACAGCCACAGCTACTCGCCTATACACACGTTCACCCATTCCACGTATTAGTCAACACACTGTCCCACTCCACCAAAGAGTCTGCCGTAAAGTAAAAGGGTGAGAAACGAGACTATTCATTAGTTACACAAATGTCTTTAATTCAGCATGGCGTTTAAAATATTAATGCTGAAAAAACGAAGTAGAATCAAGTGTAGGTCCTCTAAACAAAGACCGTAACAATGCATGGCTCAAAGCTCTGCCTTTTTTCTCCAGTTTGGGCCGGCGGGGCAAGGAAGTGGTGTAGCAACACTAAAAGTTTTTTTTTTTTTTCACTCTCTCTTAAATATATAGTTTTCATTCTTGCTCATTTGTCTGGCAACAATAGTATCATCAAGAGGGAATGGTAGTCTGAAGGAAGCGCAGAGTAGGAGTGTTCTCAGTGTTCTCATACACTGTTCTCTAAGGAATTCACAAGAAAACGCCTCACGAAATGAGAAAGAGGAAGGAGGGAGAGAGAATAAGATAGACAGCCAGAAGACAAAAACAACATACAGAAACTATGAGCAGTAAGAGGAATGGGTAGAGAGGCAGGTGGGTTTGGCTTTGTTTTTCCCCTGGCTGGAATACCCTGGTGTGCACATGTGGGCAAATACATATATCTCTCTATGCATGTGTACACAAATATAAATGTAGATGTGTGAGGCTCCTACAGCACCAGCCCTTCGTAAGCGGGGCCTTCGGACTCGGGCGACTCTCTCTGCAGACGCAGGTGCTCCAGTGTATTGTGGAAGTGTTTGTTAATCTGCTCCGTCTCCTCGCTGGCCTCCAGGTTTGGGAGATCCTCACGGATCTTCTGGATCAGCTGATTCAGAACTTGGACCGTCACCTGTAAGACAAACAGGCACACAAACAAACAGAAAATGTAAATCCAGGATGATCTGGATTTATGCAGACAAAATTCACAGAGACAGAAAGTAATGAACAAAGACAGTGTGGAGAGTTATTCTTAGTAACAACGTGTAAGATCTTAATATTCCTGTGATTAGACTAGTTCCAGGTTACTGATTATCATCACATATCTTAGTTAGCACATATATTTCTATTTGCGTGGAATTAATGAGGCAAGATATATTAGTACCACATGGGTTGATGTGTACCATGAAACAATGACAAGAATTGTATTTCTGTTGAGTTGTCCTCATGGGCTGCAAGAAAAACCAATATACAATGCCACCAGTGTAGTCCAATTCAACAAATGAACAAATTAGCCTTTTGAGTTGGTTCTATTATATTGATTTAAAACATGCAGTGAGACCAGTGCAGTCTGACGTCAAACGAATGACTCTTAGGAATCAGTTCTTTCATACTGAAGTGAATTCATCAAAGTGGTCACTGAATCAACATCTGACCACTAAACTGCAAGTAATAATTATTTTCAGCGATGTCATTATCGAAATGTAGACAACAATGGGTTGTGAAAGATATTTGGGGTCAGTAAGATTTTAATCTTTTTTGAAAGATTTCTATTTCAAATAAATGCGGTTCTTTTCAAAATGACTATTCATCACAGTTTCCACAAAAATAATACGCAGCACAACTGTTTTCAACATTGATAAATACAATAAATGTTTCTTGAGCAGCAAATCAGCATAATAGAATGATTTCTGAAGGATCATGTGACACTGAAGCCTGGAGTAATGATGCTGAAAATTCAGCTTTGATTACAGGAATAAATTACACTTTTAAATATATAAAAATAGAAGTCGTCTCTTATGTTCACCAAGGCTGCATCTATATAAAAAAAAGTCAAGATCTATAGAAAACTGGAGGATATAAACAAAAATATTTAGGAAACAGGAGAAGTTGAAGTATAGACAGTTCTGTTGATTAATGGCCATGCATTTCTTGTTTCTACAAATGTGATCTTGCTCTCAGTGCAGACATGGTGCAAAAACTGCCAAGCACTAAAGCACTTGCTGTAAGCACTGCGAGCAATTTACCCAGACGAGAATCTCAGGTAAATTCACAGCCAGAGACACATAAACACAAAAATAACTTTGGTGTCAAGGTCTACGGATTTATAGGCAGCATTTGATTTCTGATGCTGTTTTTTTTACATTATCACAAATTCGTTTACAGCAATTCGCTTACTGTGGACGCTGGCCGACTTGGTGAGTCTCGAATTGATTCAATACCAGTAGCTACATCACAAACAGCTGTCTCTTCAAGCGATGTTCCATCTACTATTGCAAATCGTATGCAAAGGATTAATCCTACATCATTAAATAAATCCAGCAATTGTAAAGCATCATGGTTTCAAACCTTTTAGAACAGTAAACCATGCTCACATTCTTTGGGACTCTCGATCAAAACCAAGTGGGATATTAGGTGGACATTTGAACAACACTCTAAGTGTTATTCCTAAAAATGATCAAATACAATGCTTTTATATGAATCAAAGTTGGATTTTTTTTCCTATCAGAAACATGGTTGCATGAAAACTCCCCTGCTGACATGTTAAATGTGTATGGTTATAAAATGTATAGACGAGACAGAACTGACGGTAGGGGTGGAGGTGTGCTATTTTATGTTAAGGATAGTATAAGATGTAAGCAAAAGTAAGGTCTTGTGTAAACGACTTAGACAATATTACTTTAAGACCAATACATTCTGATCAAATGTCATTTACTGTAATTGGAATATATAGACCACCATCTTCAAAGACTGTATTTTATGGAAAATTAACACTTCTTAAAGAGTGCAATACTAATAATAAGATTATTTTATTAGGAGATTTTAATATAAACTGGAACGACAAAGCACAAAAGAAGAAGCTAAAAAGTATAGCAAGTAATTTTGATTTTCAGCAGATTATTGAAGGGCCAGCTAGGGTAACTAATTCCTCTGAAACGTGTATTGATTTGGCTTCCACTAATAGACCAGAAAGAATAAAGAAATATTACAATCTGGAAACAGGATTGTCTGATCACAATATGATTATGATTGTAAGAAAGCTTCCTAAAAGGAGATTTAATTTAACAATTGACAAGAAGATATAAAATTATAAAATACCTAAAAGTCAGTTAGATAATTTTGTTAGATAAAATCAAACAATTATAGACAGTTATACAAGGAAAGTGAAATGTAAACCAGGACAAAGAGAATATCTACCATGGTTAAATGAATAAATCCATTCACTCATGAAACAAAGGGATCTTGGTCTGAAGTTAGCTCTCAGATCTAAGATGGAACATGACAGGCGTTTATTTAACACATTAAGAAATAAGGTTGTAAAGGAGGCTACTAGCCATCACATGGCTACTAGCAATTATAGACCAATTAGTATCCTACCAGCAGTATCTAAAATTGCAGATGGATGAAATAGATTTCTGAACAGATAATATTACATTTGAATAGTACTCCATTCTCTTTACATCTGATGCAATTTGGGTTTCCGAAAGTTTTTCTGCATCCATAAAACAGTGGTTATTGGATAATCGATCATGTTTTCATAATTTGGAGTAGTGGCTTGTTTTTGTCTCCTAATATTTAAAGTCATTCTGTATTTGTAATAATATGCTTTGATTATGGTTATGTTTGTTGGAATGTGTTTTTTTAAAAAAAAATGTTTTATGGACCTGTGGATTGTACCATCAACCTGCCAGGGTCTACAGATGCAAAATAGACTGTATGGCTAAATCTGGCACATTTACATGATGGACTTAATGTGCATTGTCCCTTTTGAAATAAATAAATTCAAATTCAAATTCCCAACGCTGTTCTCCATTATACACATTAATGACAGAACAAA